AAAATACTGAATGATGAACTCATAAATAGGGGCATTACCACCCCAACAACCCTTCCCCGTTTCAACTTCAAACTTCTCCCACTGCACTTTGGGTCTGCCTGTTCTTCGACTTAGCTATATAAACAAGTGGATCTCTTACTCTACTTGATCCTCCTCATCTCATTTACACCTTTTCTTCTAGTTTTAAATGTTGAATATTACAGCGGGAAAATAAAAATAAATAATCCGAACTTATAAAACGTTCGGACATTACAACAAAAATAAAAGAAAAATAATCTTGGAGTCTTCGGATGCTCGAACGGATGCCGGAACACGAACGGACGGGCGCTTGAATGGCTAACAGAGACGGCGGGTGAAGAGAGGAAGAACGCCGGAGTAGTTTATGAAAGAAGAGTAAGGAAAGCGGAGTCGCCGGAGCTTTCCTTAAGGTAGTATTGCCCGCCTCCCGCACTGGCTAACGTGGGAAATCTCCTCCCAGGATAAAATCGCTTCGTGCTAGGTCTAGAGCGGTAGAACAAAGCACCGACGAGCGAGAATGACAGAGTTACTGCCGGAGAAGATGTTCGGAACTCGGGGATTTTCCGGAATAGTTTTACTGCACAGAGAGTGAATTTTTCGAGAGGGTGTCTAGTGTGTTGTTTCTGCAGCCGAGCCCTCCATTTATAGGAGAGAAACTTTGGACCCTTCGACGCGACGCAACGCGACGCGACGCGCGTGTCGTGTCGAGCCGGACGGGCGGGCGGCGGCGGCGGCGGCGGGCGCGCGAGGAGTTCTCTTCTTGTTCCTTTCATAAGCTCAATTCAATGCCTAAGCTTAAATATAAGAATACGAGAGGTTTAGAAACCGGTGTGGGACAAAGGCATTTACTCTACCTTAGTATTCAACTTTGAGAATTAATTTCTCATTCACCCGAGCACCGTTTATGGCGTGTAATATGTCAAGACGTTCATCTTACTTACGAGATTAATCATCCATAATTATTTTGGAAAAATAATTTTGTGGACCCAACCGAATTTATGTCCGAAAATGTCCAATTTACTTTAAAATTTCCAACAATCCCCCACATGAATGAAAATTAATTCATGTAACTGGCAATAACTCTGAAGTTGAAACCTGCAAGAGTAGGTAGGTTTTATGCCTTTGAACCTACTCCTTGTAAAGTATACCTTCTCTACTGGCTGTTCAGTAGAACGTGATGTCNTATTTTGGAAAAATAATTTTGTGGACCCAACCGAATTTATGTCCGAAAATGTCCAATTTACTTTAAAATTTCCAACAATCCCCCACATGAATGAAAATTAATTCATGTAACTGGCAATAACTCTGAAGTTGAAACCTGCAAGAGTAGGTAGGTTTTATGCCTTTGAACCTACTCCTTGTAAAGTATACCTTCTCTACTGGCTGTTCAGTAGAACGTGATGTCTTTGAACTATACTGCCGTTTGTGTAAACGACGATATACAGTACACAAGTTTCAACCAATCATCATTCCGTTCTCATGGGTGTGCCCATTATGGTCGTGGAACACGCATCTGGTTCTGTGATAGTGTTAGACAGGATCAGCCCGAAATCCTTCTGTTGAAGCGACCGCACTTCACTCTTACATAGGTGATTCTTCTAAGAGTATCCCGATTACTCCACTTGGACCTCGTTGTCCATAGTTCAAGAATCATTAAAGCGTCATGCTAACCTCATCGTTTTCGGGAGTCACTATATCTTAGTAGGAACGGAGGGGTGTTAAGTCGGTGATTCGGCTTGCCCCCACAGTGACCGTGCTTCGTTCCACAAGTAGGTTATCCCATTGAACCCAAGTACCACCTAGGTTGGGTTTTCCTTCATGGAACGTTCCCAGCATAGGGTAGAGCTTTCAGACCCATTCCTACCACTAACTTCTCATGTTGCTCATTTGTTAACCCTTTGGTTAATGGATACGCTAAATTATCCTTTGACTTGACATAGTCAATCGAGATAATACCCGTATTGAGAAGTTGCCTAATGGTTTTGTGTCTACGGCGAATGTGCCTAGACTTACCATTATACAATTTGTTCTGAGCTCGTCCTATTGCTGACTGACAGTCACAATAAATGCAAATAGGAGGAACTGGTTTTTCCCAGTTTGAAATATCCTCAAGTAGATTCTGAAGCCATTCGGCATGTTCTGCACACTTGTCTAGAGCTATGAACTCAGACTCCATGGTGGATCTGGCAATTAACGTTTGTTTTGAGGATTTCCAGGAAACAGCTGCACCGGCTAGCATAAAGACAAATCCACTTCTAGATTTTGAATCCTTATTATCCGCAATCCAATTGGCATCAGTGTATCCTTCCAGTACGGGTGGATACCTACCGTAGCATAGGCTATAATCTCGGGTATACCGAAGGTATCGCATTACTCGGACTATGGCCTTCCAGTGCTCAGCACTCGGATTGCTCGTATACCTACTTAGTTTGCTAATGGCGCAAGCTAAGTCTGGCCGTGTACAGCTCATTAGATACATCAAACTTCCGATGACTCTAGCTTATTCTGTCTGAGAATCGCTACTCCCTCGGTGTTTACCAAGGTGAACATTTACGTCTATCGGCGTCTTAGCTATCTTTGTATCATCCTTGTTGAATTTCTCAAGGATCTTGTCAATGTAGTGGGATTGGCTCAAGCTCAGACCATCCAGTCTTCTTAGTATTTTGATTCCAAGAATCACATCAGCCAGACCCAAATCTTTCATATCGAATCGTGCGTTCAACATGTCCTTGGTGGACTTGACCATCCTATCGTTGCTTCCAACGATGAGTATGTCGTCTACGTACAGACATAAAATGACATACCCTTCAGATGTGTCCTTAAAGTATACGCACTTATTAGACTCATTTATTTTAAAATCGTTGCTCATCATTACCTCGTCAAACTTATCATGCCATACTTTTGGGGCTTGTTTAAGACCGTATAATGATTTCACAAGTTTGCAGACCTTCTTTTCTTGGCCCAGAACCTTAAACCCTTCGGGTTGTTCCATATAGATTTCTTCATCTAGTTCGCCATTTAGAAAAGCTGTCTTCACATCCATTTGGTAAACATCCATGTTCCGTAAGGATGCAAATGCGATGATCATTCTGATAGAATCTATCCTAGTCACAGGCGCGTAAGTATCAAAGTAGTCATAGCCCTCGCGTTGGCTATACCCCTTGATCACAAGTCTAGCTTTGTACTTGTCAATGGAGCCGTCAGGCTTCATTTTCCTCCGAAAGACCCATTTGGAACCTAATGGCTTACACCCTGGAGGGAGATCAACCAGTTCCCACGTGTGATTCTGAAGGATAGAATCAACTTCACTTTTTATGGCTTCT